ATCCTTCTCCTTTTGGAAGTCCTCGCGGGCCTCCTTCAGCTTTCCTTCAAAATCTTCCGCCAGCTTCTTCTTCTCCTCAGCGAACTCAGCCTGCAGCTGCGCCCTAATGGTATCGCGCTCCTCCGTCCGGACGCGCTCCTTCGCAGCCTCCACAGCAGCCTCAAGCCGGCTTTGCCAGACGCCCAGCTCAGTCAGGGCTTTGTTGGCCTCGTTAGTGGCCTTTTCCGCACGGCTCTCCGCGCCGGCGAGCTTCCCCTCCAGCTGCACAATCCGAGACTCATCCGTCTTCAGTTTTGCGCGGGTAGAAGCACGATCCTGCTGGGCGCGGAAAGTCGCCAGCAAACCCTGCACAGACAGCAGTTTACAACTTAACAAAAAAAAAAGAAAGAGAAAAGAGAATTGTGTGCCAAAACGTAATATACTTACCGCCCAATGGATTTGAGCCAGATCCACCAGCGGATCCGACTTCTCGAACCGGGGGGGAATGCTGAGCACAGGGCCAACCGCCCGCAGAGCTGCCTGCGCCGTCTGACTGTTACACGCCGCGCCAGTGTGCAACCGCACGTCGCGGTAATAGTCAATACCCGGAGCGCCTAACAGATCAGAAATCTTCCGCTGCGCAGTGGCTCCAGAAGTGCTTGGAGTCGCCAGCCTTTCCGGGTGGGGGGAGTTACCCACCCGCGCCTCGGGATCGACAATGATCAGAGGCTGCTGGCGTGCCTCCTGCACGCGTGCCTCCTGCACTGGAACCTCTCGTCCCTGCGGCTCCGCAACCCGCGCAGCCTTCTTCGGATTCCCATCACCCTGCTCCCTCTCTGGCTCCGACTCCTTCCTCTTCCCGCCAGCCGTGGGGGCACTGGTGGGCTGCCCCCGATCCCGCCTCTTTGTACTGGCAGCCGGCGCGTTGCTACTCTGCGCCCCCTCCTTCTGCTTCTTCTTCCCCTTCCGCGAAGCGCGAGGCGCCTTCGCAACGTTATCTACCGACATCATGCTCGCGAGGTCGGCGAAATCAACACCTGCACCAAAATATCGTAAGAAACCGGTTAAATATGACAGAATGCAAAGGGAAAGGAAAATAACTAACCATCAGCAAAAAGCTCTTGCAAGATGGCCTCGCGAACTCCGCGCGTGTAGAGATTCATCTTCTGATTCAAACACGCTTGATACTCTTTTTCAAGCCCATCATACGCGCCGACGTGGGACTCAAACTTCAGGGTACTACCCTTCTTCCACACAGTGGGCTCATCCACGTGTTCGCTCGCCCACTCCCCCGGAACCGGCCTAACATAGAAGAAGCGCTCAAACCACGTCTTCTTCAGTTTGGGGGAGCCATACACGAACCCATCAGGCCTGTTGTCGCGCCGCTTTATGGACAAACAGTCACTCGTCTTGCTCGGCTCCTTGATCTTGTAAAACTTGCGGAACAGCCCATACGTGGGCTGGATGTTAAGCCGCTTACAAGCGAGGCGCAAGCAGGAAGCATGCATCACGATGGATGGAGAGAGGCGCCCAACCGAGCAGTTGAGTCGCCTGTATAAGGCGCACAACAATGGGTCGATGGGAAACTTGAAGCCCATCACCCAGTACTCGCTGTACACCCCAAACCACCCTGGGGGGCAATTACCCACTGTACTCCGAACTGAGGGCACCGCGTACTCCCAGTGCGGAGGCAAACCCAGCCCGCGCATGATGTCCTCTACGTCCTCGCGCGAGTAAATTGAGCCGTGATCGGGTCCCCGCAGCAAGTTGTCGTGCGGAGCCGGTTGATCGCCCCACATCTCCGCCCAGTCAAGGACGGTGTAGGCCGCGTCCACGTAACGAGGGCCAAGACGGCTCATCCCCTCGGTTATACGTACCACGTTGACAGGCTCTGCAATCACCGGCGCTGACTGAGTGTCAGAATCCTCGCGCTCGTCCGCGTCCGCAGTACTAACACCCTCCGCGACCCCGGACCCCCCATCGCGGTCGCGCCGGATTATCAGGACGCCTCGAGGCTGTGTGCTCGGTCCCTCGCCCCCGTGGACTACTGCATCTTCATCCGCCTCTGTCTCTCCGAGGACGAAGTCAGGATCCGAGTCGACTCCGGCCGACGGCGTGGACGGAGCTCCGCCGTCACCAGACCCGCCGCCATATTCGCCGCCATATTCGCCGCCGGAATTCGCCAATTCCAGCGACGGATCAGAAGAAATACGGGAAAGGGGGGAAACATTACCTTCTTCGTCTTGTACGATCTCAACCTCGCCGACGTTGGTGTTGGTGTTGTCCATGATAGCAATAAGCAACAGAGAAGAACAACAAGTGAAGATTTAAGATTGTAAAAGAAGGAGAAGAATCTCGGCGAAAAACCAGAGCACGAGAAGGAAAGAGCAGGACTCGGATGGAAGAATGAGGCAGAATGAATCCCACCCCCAACAACGTGGTGATACTTATAGTTATTAGGGGTAAGTCGAAAGGTTAAAGTAACCTCGAAGATCGCAACCGTCAGACGTTTCGAATTTCAAAATTCGCCCGCCCAAATGGACAAACCAGGAAAGGACACGTGGACACCTATTCGAAGTAGGTACTAGCCGCCGACGGGACAAGTTCCGCACGGCGCCTGGGGGGCATAGCACACCCGCGAGGAAAAAGAAAATCTCACAAAGATCGCACGCACGATTCAGGGAAAAAGAAAAATCTCACCAAGATCGCGCGCACGAATCCGGGAAAGAGAAAAATCCCAAATCGTGCGCGCGATTCGAAGTCCCGACTCCGAAGATTTCGCTCAAGCAGGCAACTACAACAGAACCTCTCGCACGGCTACGGAACGTCAAGGCGCACGCAGGAAACCCCGGAAAACGCGCCCAGGCCCGAGTCAACCAAGCGAAGACCTAAACAGAGGGCGCTCGCAGAACACCCTCTGATGGGGGGCAATTGTTGGGCATGTGACTCGGACCTAACCACGCAAAGTAAGGCGCGCCGACCTAAGACGCGCACGAAGGAACGAGGCGCGGCACAACGTGGTGGATATTAGAGGATGCGCGCGGATGGAAAGAACCAACGCGCGAAGACCCTGAACCCCTCACAAAGATGCGCGCGAGCGGGAAACGCCAAGGCGCGGAGAGCCGGGCGCGTCACAAGCCACGCGCATACTGAGAGTGCCCAGCGAGTACTAAACCACAGGGCTAAGAGGAGTCTCGACCACAATCCCCGAGGGGCGGCCGCGTTGGGATCTGGGAGATGGTCGTAGGTACACCCCTGACACGTCCTAGGTAGAGGCATGGCCTAAATCCCTGACGTGTCAGTGGTCATGTCAAGGTCATGTCAAGGTCAAAATGCCACCATGTAATCCACCCACTCACCCACCACCGTGTAGCCTATAAATATGGCATTTACTCCGGTGGGTGAAGGGGATCGCATTTTTCACCACTCTCTCTCTACAATAATAACTTATCTCTCTAAAATCCCTTCTCTGATTCTCACTCAATTCTCTAGTTTCCGACCTTCGACTAAACCCATTGCTTGCACTTCTTCTTGACCCCAACTCTCACTCGAACCTCACTCCTACACTCAGTTAGGTTCAAACATATTTCATTGCAGAAAATTGTATATGAACATGTGTATTGACAACAAATAGTAGCAAACTAAACCTAATTTCATAAGCAAATACATTAATGGGAACCAATTTGGGGTGCATGTTGTATATCCAATCTTATGATCCAATTTGGGGTGCATGTTGTATATCCAATCTTATGATCGTCATTTCAATCATCTAAAATTTCATTTCAAAATGAACTCAATCTTTAATTATCTAACAATAAATAAGAAACCTCACATAAAACCACATACGATTTGCTTATATGTTAAGCATCACAAAACCTTAACCTGGTAAAACTTCAAAAAAAATCATCTAATGACACATATAATGAAACCATAAAATTGCATGATTTTTATAAATTTAAATCTACATCATCGTATTTAATCGGATATCGATGGACTAAAATTTATAATTTTTTTTTTTTTTTTCCAAGAAATGTCAAGAGAGAACCTATACACACTACCCAAGCCCTGCCCCACCCATACAAAAGCGAATCCAATCTACAAAGTCAAAGGACGATAACTCTACAGGGGATAGACACAGGGCTTTCTGCGCCACTCTATGGGCAGCCCTGTTCGCAGTCCGGGGGACTGCCCTAAACTCTAAGGAAGCAGACACTGAAGATAAAAGAAAAAAGCAATCCCGGAGCACCGGTCCTCCCAAGGAATCTGAAACAACGCCATGACGCAGCTGATTAATCACCACCTCTGAATCTCCTTCAATGATGACCCGGGAAAGCGACTTGGAGACCACAAGGAAAATGGCGGCTCTAGCAGAGTCTAATATATATGCCATATTACATCCAAATACACTCATACCTACTACGCTTAAGCAACTAAGCCGAATTAATCACTAAAAATTAAACACGAAAAAACAAAAGTTCCCCTTGATAATTATCCCCTTCTACTTTCAAAAATCAAAATAATTCCCTTCCTAATTCCCACCAAAAAGAAAATTCCAAGCCTACGCGCGTAAAAACAAAGAGCCAACAAAAGGACAAAACGAACTAAGCAGTCAGGAAACCCCATCCCACGCGCTGGCACTGCACGTGGGAATAATATGGATGAATCGCGGTAGTGATCGCAATTATCATTCTCTGTAGCCCGCCCCCTGCCCTTCTGTTTCCCTGTCCCTCACTCGCCCCTCTTCCCCTCTATTTCTAATCCCCAATTTCCCTTCCTTCCCCTACCCTGCAAAATTCCCCCATCCTCAAAATCCCCCTTTCCTTTCCTCCGATCTCCCTCCCCATCCTTCTCCGTCCACCGTCTCCCATCTCCGGACCAACCCTCTTCCGCCAATTTTTCCTACTCACATGGCCTGGCTGGTCAGAGTGAAGTCCGCGATCTCCAACTCCGCCACCACCATCTTACCTCGATCGGCGAAAAAACAGAGCGTCGGCGTCCTGGCCTTCGAGGTCGCCGGAGTAATGACCAAGGTGCTCCACCTCTGGCAATCCTTAACCGACAAGAACATAATCCGACTCAAGAACGACTGCATCGCCCTCGAGGGCGTCCGCAAGATCGTCTCCAACGACGAGCCCTTCCTCCTCGGCCTCGCCTGCGCCGAATTGGCGGAGAATCTCCGCCTCGTCGCCAAATCCGTCGCCCGGCTCAGCCACCGCTGCGCGGGCACCAACCTCCGCTGCTTCCACCTCGCCTTCGATCGGTTCGCCGACTCGGGCCACGACCCGAACGGGTGGGTCCTGGGCTGGAAGGAAATGGAATTGAAGAGCAACAAAAAGATGGACCGCTACGTCACCGTCACGGCCACGCTCCACAAGGAGATGGAGGAGCTGTCGGCGCTGGAGACCGCGCTGAGGAAAGCCGTCGCTGCCGCGTCGGGGGACGAAACGACGACGAAGGAGCAGAAGATCGCGGATCTCCGGCAGAAGGTGTTCTGGCAGAGGCAGGAGGTGAAATCGCTCAAGGACAGATCACTGTGGAACCGGAGCTTCGACGGCGTCGTTTCGATGCTCGCGAGATCGACTTTCACCGTCCTCGCCAGGATCAAGCTGGTTTTCGGGATCGGATCTCAGGGTTCGCTCCCTACTTACTTGCCGAGGAGCCTCTCTGCCTCTGCGACCGTGTACCCGACCGAGAACCAGACCGGTTCGACCTGTTCGACCTACGTCTCCGGCCCGCTGGCGAAGAGCGTGAAGAACGGTTCGGCCGGCGCCGGCGACGGGTTCTTCAAATCGAATTCCCAGCTCCTGAAGCCGCCGACGACCACGCTGGGAGCGGCGGCGCTAGCCCTGCACTACGCGAATCTAATCATAGTGATGGAGAAGATGATCAAATCGCCCCAATTGGTCGGCGTCGACGCCCGCGACGATCTGTACTCGATGCTGCCCAACAGCGTGAGATCGGCGCTCCGGGGGAGGTTGAAAGGGGTCGGGTTCACGGCGACCGACCCGGGCCTCGCCGGCGAGTGGCGGGACGCGCTGGGTCGGGTCCTGGGCTGGCTGGCGCCGTTGGCGCACAACATGATCAAGTGGCAGAGCGAGAGGAGCTTCGAGCAGCAGAATTCGATCCCGAAAACGAACGTGATGCTGCTGCAGACCCTGTATTTCGCGAACAAGGAGAAGACGGAGGCCGCCATCACCGAGCTGCTGGTGGGTCTGAACTACATCTGGAGGTTCGAGAGGGAGATGACGGCGAAAGCTTTGTTCGAATGTGGGAACTTTAGTGGGCTGCTAATGAAGCCTCAATGTAGTAGTAATCCAATTGCTGGTTCGGGATAGGATAATCGAGAAGGAGACTGGAGGATTCAAAATCAAAACCGTCCTCCTCTGGGTTTCCTTTTCTTCTTTTGTGCACCCATTTTTCATCTCTTTTCTTTGAGATTCTTCTGATGGATTGGGTTTTGATCTGCCTCAGATTGAATGGTTTTGAGGGTTTTTTCCTTGTTATTAGATGTAAATGAAAGTATGAATATGATAAATGATAATGGTGATTTGGGAGAGTAATTAATCTTGAGTATGATGATTAGATTGGAGTTTGCTTTGATGATCATGTGAACATATTCCTCATTTTAGAACTAAATTTTTTTCTGTTGGGTGTTGTCATTATTGGTATGTGCAACTATACATACTAGCCCTACAAACTCGATCAAGATTCTTGCTATGATTCATTTCATAATGGGCTATGAAGGGTAGAAAGCAAAACTTAAATAATAGTATGTTTGACCCACACTTAAGTTTCAACTATCATCATCTTGCTCCACAAATAGACTAAAGATCGTCGATATTTTGAATTTGGAGCTCGTTTGTAACCTTTAATTTTCTTTTGATTCGGGACATTATGAATTCGATAATTTAGGTACTAAGATTATTCATAAAGAAAGAATAAGTGAATTTTGAGAATTTGTAGTTTTAAAAACATAAAACAATGCACATAATACACACACTAAATGAACTATAAGTGCTAAATATCACAAAAAATTAAGATTCATTTCCATGTACAAAGAATACGTTATATATTTTCAATTTCTCATTGCATGCATCAGTGTTTAAATCAAGTAAAAAAAATTGGATTTGAATTTATGTAATTATTTTTCGTTATCTAATAACAATAATAATTAATGAAAAATAATTATTAAAAAATGAAATGAAAAAAATTAAATAAATTCAAAATCAAAATTTTTTATTTCGGGTTCGCTGACATGGCAAGTGACCTGACACTTGACTAACGATCAATGGAGTTAACCGTCCGTCTTTACGGTCAAAACCCGCGTCGGGCCAAACAAATGAGTTTAGTGCATAATTCAGGCGAGGAGAGTAATTTCAGAAAAGATTGAAAATAATAAAATATAAATAACCCCACACAAATTTTCTTCCAATATTCGTACATTTTCGCGATAATCGTAATATATAACCGAGAAGATAGATCGATCGAGTTCAATCCAAAATGACAATGATTAGGGGTTAGTACACATGACGATACACAAAATGAAAATGCACTTAGACAAACACCTACTCAGAATGTGTATTATTGTATAAAAGCCATTGGCTAACTTACATAGAGAAGCGGCTATGTAGAGAAAGGATCCATCAACTTTGATGGGGCCTTCCCACCAAGAAAATAAGATTTGTGATCACGCACTTAGTTTAATCAAAACGTCACGTAATGGAATCTTGTCAATGCACACTCGTTTGTGCTACTACTAGTTGTTGCTTAGCTTTAAATTTGTCGTCTCAATGATTAAAGGCATACACTAGAAACTCTTCTCCACCCATACAACACTATTCTGCAGAGACACCAAGGGGTCCATCGACCTTATCCAGAGAACAACACAAACCGCAATCACCCAAAGCTCCAACCGTGAAACAATGGTGGCAGATAAGATCTGCCCACCCAAGCCTCGACAGGCCGTATATGAGTGCACATTCACACCACCAGGCGCGGCCGAAACCGCTAAAACAAAGAGAACGCGAAATCCAAACTGAGAGATTCGTCGAATCAGTAATCGTGTATGATAACACATGCTACACACATTAGAGAACATGCAAGATGGTAGTTACGACTTTGCGTTGCGCAACATCGTTCTTCTCGTTGGAATGTATCATCTTTCCCAGATGCTGAGTACAGGATTTGCTCCCTTTGAAGGGACCCTCGACATACATGTATGATGTCTACAAGTGGAGAGTGGCCGATCAACCACCATCCAAAAAACAACACAGCTCACAGGATTGGATTCATGATCGTCTACCTTATTATATGTTCTTAATTATTTAGTTTTAAGAACCCCACAAAAGAAAGAAGAAAATAGGAGCTCCTGCTGCTGGGGCAGAGATGGCTATGATGCCTAGATTGGAGCTTTCCTGAGTGCTCTTTTTTGATACATCACACGTGTGGCCGCCAGCAGTTTGATGCCCTAGCTAGCAGTGCAATAATTGGGGGCCATTGCAGCGGACTGGAACAAAAATGGCGGAAATTGAGTTGGAAAAAACAAGACTTTCATTTCATTATAGGTGAAGAGAACCCATCTTAGTATATGTGAGTTTGTGCTCTGAAACATTAGAGGACCAGATACAGTTGGGAAGCTGAAGAATGGTTTTTTACAGAGATGATGAAACTATATGCACAGCCTAACCCTAATGAAGCATCTATCTAATGCAAGCACATACAATGGAGCTCTCTCTCCCTCTCTATAGTGTACATAAACAGAAGTGAGAACAATAGTGTACAGAAGCCTCCCCTCTTCCCCAGAAGTTCACCTGATGCCACGGCTCACTCTGTCATCAGCTTTTCGGCCTCGAGCCTTCAAGGGAAAGAACCAGTACAAACAGCGCTTCCTTGGAAGGATGAATGCAGGACTCCCGGGGATCGGTAAACAATGGCGGATTCAAACACTACAGTTCTAACCCCTAATTATGTACACACCAAAGCTACAGACTTGAAGCAGGAATAGGAAAAGGAAAGAAAAAACAGTAAGAAACCCTAATCACAGACGCAGGATGACACCTAAATGCAGACACGATTGATTCTTTAAATCTCTTCTAACCTCAATTCGATTCTTTTGGACCCTAAGGATTTTGATCTACTATTACCCTATATTCATCAACTTACCTGTGACCCGTCGCCGGGGAAACTCTAGACCCGATTCTCCAGCTTATCGGAATCGACGGCAGGATTCTGCTGCTCAAGAATCCGGCGCCCGAAACCCTTGTAGTCGAAGGAGCAGCGATGCTCCTCAGGGTACCGGTGCTTACTACAGAACAGTTTCTTGCACCGGCACTTGAATCCCAGCAATCCTACCCGCCTTCTGCAACTACCGCAGTTCTTATCTTCCTTCTTTACCGTCTTGGAGGTAGTATCGGTGGCGGAACCGAATCCAAACGTGAAAGTGGACGGATCAAAAGAACGGCCGCGGGTGGGGAAGAAGCCGCTATCTACGCTAGAGAAAAAGCTAGAACCTGATGACGAAGAAGACGAGGTGGTTCGGAACGATTTACCGCTAAAGAACGAGTTGTTCTCAGTACCGGCGGCGGCGCCGGTTGTGGCGGTGGTCTCCCTGCGGTCGAATCCGGAGAAGGGAACGACCTTCGCGTCGCGAGGGAAATAGAAGGGACGCTTCGTGCCGACTGGCTTCTCGATCGTGGATTCCGCCGCCGTCGCTGGCTCGTCATCGTCGAGATCTCGTTTCTTGGTTTGCTGGTCGCAGTTAGGGCAGAGGTGGCCTTTCTCCGCCGATCCGAACAGCGCGCATCCCTTGATGCACGCCGACGACGGCTCCATATCTCCTTGCGGCTCCATATCTCTCGCTTCTCTTCTCTGTTGTCTATCGAATCGCCGATCGCCTCAGGGTAATTCTGATTTCTTGGATTGGTTTCTTGATCGAAATTCTTCGATTCGATTTGGGGGAAATTGAATTTGAACTTAGAGCGATGCATATAAAGTGGATGGTTCGTCTGAAGAGGCAATAAACCGCCTTTCTCCGTCGGCCACACGTTTGCTGATTCGCATGTCGATGTCCGGGCCCAAAACAACAATGGACTGTGTTTGGGCCGGACCGGATGAATCTTGGTGGGCTTTTGTGCAAGTACTGATTTACGTGTCCCAATTGGATAGCAAGTAAGAACTAGTCTTCCACGCTGCCATCATAACGTTGACTCACCAACTTCACAAAAAGAGCAGGTAAGCTGAAACTCAGTACCAGAAAGATGGTTCAGTTAAACAAGCACACACTTGGTACATTTTGGAAGACTGCCTAACCCCACTAATGGCGACTCTATAAAACTGGAAGAAGAAACACAGTTGCAGACCACAATGAATTGAGCTGCCATTACATCCTGAAAAATGGAATCGAAAGAGGGAATAGAGACTTCGAGGAGAAGGCATATCAGGGAGCCACCTTCAGTTCCATTTCTCTGGGAAGATAGGCCAGGGATAGCCAAGAAGGGTTGGAAGCCTGAGGTTGCTCCTCATGTGGTCACACCGCTTCCATCATTGCCTCCAGTCAAGCTCATCGCTTCAGTTCCCTTTAAATGGGAAGAAAGGCCCGGGACTCCACTGTCCCGTTTCTCGCAGCCATCATCACTCGACGACGAGGGGAAACTTGCTTCGCAAGTAAAGGTGCTTCCTTTACCACCAGCTCTGATGTACTCAGAAGCAGATACTAAGAATGTTGATGATGATGACGACGATGACTGGTACCAGAGATCACCGTCATCTCTGTTTGGGAATTGCCTGATGTCATCAGCGGCAGTTTCTGCTGCTGTTCCGGTCATCGACAGTGCTTTCTCGATGGATGAGCAGTGGGAAAGGCCGGCATCGCCCGCTTATGAAAGTGACAGCAGTACCAGTAGTTATGCAACTGGGAGGTCGAGCCTTGTGGGGTCTTCATTCTTGGAATGCTTGTTTCCGTTATATAAAGCAGCTTCTGGTTCTCGTGAGGAGGAGACAGATCTGAAGAATGGTTCTTCCACTCCTCCACTGGAGCTCACCGGCAGAGATATAGTAGGTCAAGGAAGTAGCGATGGTGCGCTAGTAGTAAGGAAGCCGCCAACACTTGGAGAACTGATAATGATGAGCAGGAGGAGGAGCGTTCAGAGGAAAGCAAATCAAATGAGGCTACAGAATCCATCAATGGTAAGTAAATCTCTCAGCTTGCTTCCGTTTCCACTATAATTTCAAATGCTCTTGCAACCGCAAGCAAATATCAAGATAAATTAATCTAGTCTAGGGATTTGAAAGGACCTAGTGCACTTGCCTGACATAACAATGTTGCAGGAACTCATGAAGGGGCAACCTTTCAAATGCTGTGTCTTTGGAACCGGCATTAAGATGATAGATAGGCTGCAGAAGAAGATGCACCATACAAGACTGGCCCTCCTGTAGTTCTGGTTTCTTGCTCCTAAGAAGCCTGCATTCAATTATCTGTGTGAACTTTCTAAGCAATCCCACTGTTGTGCTGTCAGTTAAGTTTCAGTTTCAATATTTCATACTGCTAGTGAATTCTCCAATTCCTGTAAAAGCATGCAAAGAAGATACAACTTTCAGGAGTATGCTACTTCCTGAAGCAAGTCATAAGCCCTGCTATTCCAAGTAGAAATTTGTTGTAAACTTTGATCTGTTATACCCTTGGATGATTCTACGAAAGATCTTGAAGGTTGGGTCCCATAAAGAGCAAAAAACGCAAAAAGATTTGTATTAGGCAAAATTGATCCTATTTCAATGACCAGATTTACACATTTCAGCAACTTTCCCAATCCGTTCCATGACAAGAGGAACATCTTCTTCAGCTAAAGCTGTAAAACAACACCTGAACCATCCAGGTTCTATGCAATGGCAGGCTGAACCAGGAGTTACATTGACTTTACCAACATTCAACAGCTTATCCCATAGTTCAAGTTCCCCCTTCTCACTATACAAAGCTATCAGAACACTCATATCAGCCCAGCAGTATAACCCTCCACTGCTCTTTGCACACCGGATTCCTAACTGGTCAAGACCACCAACAAATAGGTCATACATCCGCCGGATCCTCTTTCTATTGGTTTCGATATATTCCTCGATAAACTTGGCATCCGAAAGCATTGAGATCAGGAGCCTCTGAGTTGGAGCAGAAATGGAAGAGAACCTAGTAAGCCTTTTTGCAGCAGCCAGGACATTTTCATTGTAGGAATAGACAACCCCAACCCTGAATCCTGGAAGAGATAGGTCCTTTGACAGGCCATATATAATATGAACCCTGCTCTTATCAAATTCTTCTCCTTCAATAATTTCTGCAACGCTCACAAATTCCTCTGCTGTTCCATAGAGAGACCCAGCAAATATTTCATCCGATATAATGTGAATATTCTTCTCCTGTGCAAAGTCCAGTAACTCATAGAGCGTCTCTCGGGACAGTATATTGCCAACAGGGTTTGAAGGGTTGGAAAATAAGATTCCTCGAACTTTCAGACCCCGTTTCCTTGCCTGGTTGTAAGCTTGATCGAGAGCAGTGACGGTCAACATGAAGTTATCTGTGCTGCGGCAGTGGACTGGTATTAACTCCACTCCTGTTCTAAATTTGATATCCCTGTCAAATCTGCGGAAAGATATGGATAAACGTTGATTACATCACTAGCTCTCGTATCTACGCTAAAAGAAAACTACCTAACAGTATATAGAATAATTACCCAGGATAGTACGGGGTGGGGATTAGAAATGCATTTCCATGGTCGGCCAAGCAGAAGGTTAGTATTTCGATAGCTGGAGTTGCACCAGCCATCAATACCATTTGTGATGGATTAAATGAAACCCCTTTCCCCATTACCCGAGACATGAAATCTGCCATAGCCTGCAATACCCAGAAAGGAAGGGGGAAATAAAGAAAGTAAGTTAATGAATAGAACTATAGAAGCCTCCATATGAACATAATTCGTCTCTAGGTCGATTCCATTTAGTCTCTAATTCACCAAAATCCTCCAAACAAAGTTCTTATCAGCTAGCTATCAAGCAAATGGCAGAGAAACACCAACTTCTGTCTGCATGGGAGTTTTCACATTGAACTACCACTACCTTACTGCACTAGACTAGAGTATAACATTCTCACAACAATGGCCTGATAAGTCCTATTTGGGTACTAACTTAACAGAACTTATCTAAGACGAGAAATGAAAGCTGGAAATGTTCAAATCGTACTAAATCGCTAGCTTAGAGCTGTTAGTATACCACTTTCAGCTCCATCAACCCATCAAATGGTTGGTAAGTGGCCATGCCATTGATACTCAATTCAGCACCATCGCCACCCATCAGCGAGTCCATCAAATTCTCCTTCATCCATCTCTCAATCAAATCGAAACACAACTGCAACCACCACCAGAAAAAAATCAAGTCAATGGAAGAAAAAAACAACAAAAGAAAAAATTGCATGAACAAGAATTGGGGAATCGTAATACACACCGTATTCTCGGACAATCCAAGCTGAATAATCCCCTCCGGATTATCCACCCGATGAAACCGATCCCCGGCGACCTTATCCAACCCGACATAGTACGGCGAGTCATTGGGTTTGGCAATCGCCATCCCGCGAGAAGACAACCGGACGGGCACAATCGACCCGCGCCCTAGCAAATTGGAGCGCGATGAGGTCCGCGCCAAATCCCCGAGGTTCGGGGACGAAGAGGACGGGGACGGAGGGTTCGAGGAGGACGCCGGCGGCTTGGGCGAGCGGTGGCGCTTGAGGTACAGCTGGAGGAAGTAGAAGAGAGCGCAAGGGATGAGGGAACCCAGGATGAGCCCTCCCCTGCCCTGGACGACACCCTGGAGAGGGACGACGAGTCTCATTCCGTTGCCGGCGGCGGCGCGGGGCTTCGGTGACGGCGGTTCTGGTTCGGACGATGGGGACTCGGTCATGGGACCTCGGGGCGGGTCTCGACTGACCCGCTGCGGGGAAGGCGATCGGAGGGATGGCGTCAATGGGAAGTAAGTGGAAAGTGTGAGAGTGGAAGAGGAGAAGAGAAGAGGAAAGGAAAGGGGAGTGAGAGAGAGCGTAGCCGTTCGTTGGAAGTAAAGAGGGTGAGAGGGAAAGAAAAGATTTCGGCTTTGAGGTTGGGGGCGGGGGTTTGGTTTTTGGTGGTTTAGAATTTTTTGTAGGGAGCCTGTGTTTCGGCTGAGTTTGCAAAGTTACGGTAGATATATTCTCCTGCCAGTATTGAGGGCAATTTGGACTCTTGCGGCGACGAGTATTACTCAACCTGACCAGAGAAAGAATTATGGCTTAGAACATAGAGAAAGTGCTCTGGTTTTTAGGAGTCGTAGGAAAACCCTAACAACCGGGGAAGCTAGGTTTTTTCTCACCTGAGATGGCGGCGGAGGCACCAGCGATAGCGTCAACGGGGAAAGGAAAACCCCCTGACATTGCTGGAGGGGTTTGACGACCCGTTGAAGCCTCCTCCTCCCTAATGGAATGTCTGCAACGGAATTGACACAGGCCAAAAAAGAGCACGAGCACTGGACTTTACATCTGGTACCGTCGAAGTGGAAGATATCACGGAAGCTGGGATGGAGACTGAGCAGTCGGAATCAACGGAACAATAAGGTTGGACAGGAGGAGCGAGACGCCTTTTCAGTGAGGTCATTCAGCAGGATAAGTGGTACATTGAGGAATCGGATACGGAGGACGCGGAACAAAGGGAAAGAGAGGAAGATGATGTAGTAGAAGAAGGAACCAATGACCCAAAGTGCCCCATGAGCTGCTTCTCTGTGGTCGAAAAGATTCGTTGGTGGCAAGAGTGGCGATCAGCCTTAGTTGTGAAGGGTTTAGGGCGGAAAGTCCCGCACGTACCACTTGTGAAAAGACTCAATTTCCTGTGGGGACTGTCACGACCTTACTCTCGATCGTGCGGTCCTAGCTCTCAATTTCGTTAGAGCGCTAGGCAGCCTTCTCTCAAACTCACAAAGAAGCAAAGAAGCAAGAACAAGACAAAGGAAGTGGGAGAACTCTCTAGTGTGTATTACTCTAAAAAATTATGGAATGAGTACAAATGAGGGAGATGGCTCCTTATATAGGCCTCTCCACATACAAGGCATCAATGCCCCTCATCACTACCCCACATCAATACACCCATAAAGTCCCCCCGATAATGCACTCTATAAATGTCACCCATTATGTGACTCATAAGTGAACCATTAAGCTCTCTTAAGGTGGAGAATCCTAGGAGCATCTCTATGCTACTAGTCTTTCATACATGCCACATATGCAGACGCCATGTTGTCATCTTGTTGGCGCCATGTCATCTGCCACATGTGACATCCTCCCCCACCTATGCTCGCGAAGCCCTCGTCGCGTCCTCTTGATGGAATGTCTCGATCAAGTCCTTGTTCTTCAAAAGCGTGAGCTCTTTCTCCCAAGTTGCTTCACTCTCCGGAAGGTTGCGCCACTTCACCAAGTATTCCACGAAACTTGGATGTACGCCGCGACGAGGAATGACACGACGCGCCATGATCTCTTAGACTTCATGGTCGTGTGTCTTGGTGATGAGTGTTGGTGCGCGATGCGACTCTCTTTGCTGCTTGTCCTCCTTGTCTTCGTGGAAAGCCTTGAGTTGGCTCACATGAAAGACCGTATGGATCTCCAAGTGCGACGACACCTCCACCTTGTACGCCACTTTGCCAATCCTCTTTACAATGGGGAATGACCCTTCATAGCGGCGAAGCAGTCCCTTGTGCACGTTCTTGAGATGCTTGAAGCGGTGAGGGTAGAACTTCACCATCACCATGTCTCCCTCTTCAAACTCCAATTGACGCCTCTTCTTGTCCGCCCATTTCTTCATCTTCTTACTAGCGCGGGCTAAGTAAGACTTGACCATCTTCTCGTGCCAGCCTTTAGCAAACTTGTAGGCTGCCGGATTGTTGCCTCTATACCCCGTTGCCACCGTCGTAGGTGTCAAAGGTTGCTGCCCCGTCGCCAACTCGAATGGGCTTGTGTTGGTCGACTCGATGCGGTGCAAGTTGTAGGAGAATTGTGCTGTATCCATAAATTTCACCCAATTTCTCTGGTTTGCACTCACGTAGTGTCGCAAGTACACCTCCAACAAGGCATTCACCCGCTCCGTCTTCCCGTCGTTTTAAGGATGAAATACCGTCGAGAAGTTCAAGTCTGAGCCAATGATCTTGAACAACTCCCGCCAAAATCGGCCCGTGAAGCGCCCATCTCTGTCGCTCACGATGTTGCTAGGAATGCCCCAATACTTTACCACATTCTTGAAGAATAGGCGCGCCGCATCCTCTGTTGTCATGTCTTTTGGCCCAGGGATGAACACTCCATACTTCGAGAACCTATCCACCACAACCATGATGCAACCGCATCCGTCGACTTTGGGAAGTCCGATGATGAAGTCCATGCTTACACTCTCCCATGGTCGTTGGGGCGTGGGCAAGGGCTCTAGCAAGCCTGTCGGGCTTCTCTGCTCCATCTTGTCTTGTTGGCACACAAGACAAGTCTTCACATACATCTACATGTCGTCTCTCGTACGTAGTCAGAAGTATGCTTCCTCGATGAGTGCTTGCGTTCTCTCGATGCTGGGATGGCTCGCCTACTTGGAATCATGGCACTCCTTCATGATCTCCTTTCTCAAGTTGGTCCATCTTGGCACGAACACACGCTCTCCCTTGGTCATGTTGAGCCCATCCTTCATCCAAAACCATCGAGTCTTACCTTACTCGATGTACTCCGCTACGGTTTTGGCGAAGGGGTCATAGCCAAGACCTTCAACGATCCGCTCCTTCAAAGAAAACACGGGCTGACTGATGCTTGCGACTGCACTCTTGCGGCTAATAGCATCTGCAACGGAATTCGCCTTGCCGGGATTGTACTCCATGACGAAATCGAACTCAGCCAGAAAATCTTGCCACCTCGCTTGCTTAGGGGTGAGCTTCTTCTGCGTGAGAAAGTAGCTCGTTGCCACGTTGCCCGTCTTCACTACGAACTTCGACCCCAACAAGTAGTGCCTCCACGTACGCAAGCAATGCACAACGACCGTCATCTCCTTCTCTTGGACCGTGTATCGCCTCTCCGTCTCGTTGAGCTTTCGACTCTCGAAGGTAATGGGATGGCCATCTTTCATCAAAACGCCACCAATCGCGAAGTCGGATGCATCGGTCTGCACTTCGTATGCCAACATCGGGTTGGGGAGCACGAGCACGGGCTCCTTCACCACCGTTGCCTTCAAGTCCTCGAATGCTTCTTGGCACCTTTCCGACCAGTCCCAAGCCTTGTTGTTCTTCAAAAGATCCGTCAAGGGTTTTGCAATGTTGGAGTAGCCCTTGATAAACCTTCGATAATAGTTGGCAAGGCCGAGGAATGACCGCAACTCTGGAACCTTCGTAGGTGGCTCTCATTCTTGGATTGCCTCCACCTTCGCCCCATCCATCTTCAACTTGCCTCCACCAATGATGTGCCCCAAGAATGGAATCTCCGTGGAGGCAAAAGTACACTTCTCCCTCTTGACATACAACTCGTTGTCGCGAAGGATTTGGAAGACTTGACGTAGGTTCTCGGCATGCTCATCGAGTGTTTTGTTGTACACTACGATGTCATCCAAGTAGACCACGACAAACCGGTCCAAGAATGGCTCGAACACTTGATTCATCAAAGTGCAAAACGTGGCTGGTGCATTGGTGAGACCGAATGTCATCAAAAGAAACTCATAAGAGCCATACCTCGTCACACAAGCTGTCTTTGGCTCGTCGTCCTCTACTATTCGCACTTGATAGTAGCCCGAGCGAAGATCAAGCTAGGTGAACCACCTTGCATCTCCAAGATGGTCGAACAAGTCGGCAATGTTGGGAATCAGCCACTTGTTCTTCACCATCAACTTGTTTATGGCTCTATAGTCGATGCACATACCCAACGACCCTTCCTTCTTCTTTTGGAACATCGTCGGTGCTCCAAAAGGTGACTTCGATGGACGCATGTAGCCTGAGTCCATCAAGTCCTTAAGCTGCCTCCGCAACTCTTCTAACTCCGTTGGCGCCATGCAGTATGGTGCTCGCGAAGGGGGTTTCAATCCTGGGTCCAACTCAATCTTGTGGTCCACCTATCTTCTTGGTGGCAGATTTTTGGGAAACTCCGATGGCATCACGTCATCCAACTCTTCAAGGACGCCTTCGATGATGGGAGTTGTGATTCCCGTTGAGCCTCCTTCTTCCTCTATCTTCAAGGACACAAGAAATGTTGGCTATTTCTTCTTGAACTCCTTCAACACCTGCATAGCGGACAAAGCACTATGGGGGCCATCTTCTCTCAAGAGATGGACCGCATGGAACTCTCCTTCCTTCTCCAAGCACATAGTGTTGGATTTGGGCTTCAAGAGCACTCCCTCCTTGTCGAGGAAGTTGATGTCGAGGATGACTGGGTGATCGTCCATGGTGACGACGGAAAAGTCGATGAGGCCTTCCCACTCGCCAAGCTTCACTGGCACGTTGTGTGCAACTCCATGAATCGAGATGGACTTCGAGTTGATCGTCTTGAGTCTCCATTGCCCCTTCTCGTAGGCAAAACTCAGCGGTCCGCCTTCTCGATGCGAAGGAATTTGTTCGTGACACCGGTATCCACCAAGAATATAGCACCTCCCACGCTTGCTCTCCTTGACGTCGGTCTTCACCGCGCCAAGCTTGTGGATTGAGCCAATCTTGGCCTCCGCTGCCTTGGGCTCTTGATCTTGAGCTTCCATGGCCGCCAATCTCGCCTTCCTTGGGAAGTCTCGCACTCGATGTGGTCTATCGCAAAGGAAACAAGATACGGGTTTTGGTTCGTACTTACCCCCTTTGCTTGAACCACCTTGTTGTTGTTGAGTGCGAGGACCCTCCTTGAAAGGTTGACACGGTTCTCCACCCTTGTTGGGCTTTGAACTCTTATTTTTGCTGCTGCGCTCTTGCCTTTTGTACTCTACAAAAGACTCCGTCGTGGGCATGGCAGTTGCAAGGTCTTGCACTCCTCGACATTGCATCTCCATCTTGACCCATGGTTGCAGCCCATCAAGAAAGCTGCAGGGCCTCCTTGTCCGTGATGTCCGGGATCTCTAGAAGCAGCTCCGAGAATTCTTTCACATATTCTCGAACTCCACCTCTCTGGGTGAGTCTTCTCAACTTTGAACGGGCTTCAAACTCCACATTCTATGAATAGATTTGCTTCTTAATTTCTCTCTTGAAATCTTCCCACGTTACATCACACACGTACCTCTTTCGATGTATGCTTCCCGTCGCCTCCACCACACCATTGCAACATCGACCAGCAAAGTGGAGCGGTACGAAGTTTTACCTCATCCTCTTAGATGCCGGACGCCTTGAAATACTGCTCAAGACTCCAACGGAAGTTCTCTAACTCCCTTGCATTCCTTCAACCTCCGAAGTTCTTCGGTCTTGGAACGTGAGCACGTGGGACGGATTGCCCCGGGGCTGGTCCGCTAGTTATGACTCTCTTCACGAGAGTGACCTCACTCTTGAGGTCATCAATCTCCTCCTTCACGCCGACCAGCTTGAAATACTGCTCTTTCACGACTTCAATTGAGGTGCTCATGATTGTGGAGATATTGTCTTTGATGAGGGCCATGAGCTCTTCTCGAAGGCCTTCATGGTTGATCTCCAAGCTCGTCAACCGACCAACCATTCCTTGCACATCGCTTTGGACTTGGTTGAAGTTAACTCTCAAATCCTCAATGGCGGTGACATCTTCGGAAAGCTTCACCTTCATTCTAGAGACTCTCTTCTCTAGAGACTTGAGAAGATGCCGGACGCCTTGAAATACTGCTCAAGACTCCAACGGAAGTTCTCTAACTCCCTTGCATTCCTTCAACCTCCGAAGTTCTTCGGTCTTGGAACGTGAGCACGTGGGACGGATTGCACCGGGGCTGGTCCGCTAGTTATGA